TTGAACCCAGAGCTTCTGTACTTAAAATGTTACGATCCAAATTCCTCTCTTTTAAGAAAAAAAATCAGCAATGACAATACTTAGCAATTATCATCTGAGCTAGTAAAGTCTAAAACAATTATAAGGGCCATACATTAGTGGCCATTTTTAAGCTCACTAAACGAAGATGGGCTTATAAAGATGGGAGCCGGGCTATTTAAGATACAGATCTATTTCTATTTAGAGGATGCACTAAATACTTTGAGTGGCCATCCCCTTATACATAATTATACTGAACTCAGATTGAAACCTGCCTACAAATTTTGTTCTTTAAGTATTAGTAAGTTCTGCTTATTTAGGTCTTCTATGGACAAACTGCAACCGACCACTCAGTATTAAACCAATAGTCCAGTATTAAGCCCTCTGAAACCTTAATCTTTGTCTGGCAGGAAGGATTTGAGACATAAAACCAACCTCTATGTGAGCAGGATGCATTAAATGAGTTAAGCTGCTTATAATGAAGCTTCATTATCTTGAAGCATTATAAACTCGTCGAAATACAAAACATCTATAAATTTCTATATACATAGTTTAAGTTTGAAAATTTTTCTAAAATCTAAAAGAAAACTAAAAAAAGACAGAAGAAATGCTTCCCTTACATGTTTTCCTATCAGAAATGGACTTTTTCCAGCTAATATGCCTCTATTAATTAAACTAAGGAGCTTGAAATTCTGAAGTTCAAAAAGGATCAAAAATAGTAATACAATCTAAAAATCATATGGTTTTGGCTTCAGAATTTTATTTTAAAGGTTGTACAGTATCAGATTATGAGACTGTTGCAAACCTGGGTAATCTGTCAGGTGTATGAGATGAAAGAGAAAAGCCAGTAAAATGAAAAGACAAAGTAAATACGTTTTCCATTTTATATAACCATTCAGTAGTAATGTAACCATTCAGTTAACCACTGAATGGTTAACCAGTTAACTATTCAAAAGTAACCACTCAGATTTCTCTATACACGAGCCACATTATTAATGTGATCTCTAAACTTTTTGGTAAGTTAAAATATTTGTGTTTATTAAAAAGTAAAAGTGTTCGTAATTTAAAATTACATTAATTCAAATCTTAGGCACTTAAATTAAGGCATGTGTCACTTTAGACATATTAAAATAGTGTATAAGAACAAGTTTTTAATAAATATCTCAAAAGGCTGATATATCATGCCTGGACATGCTTCCAGTGTGTTTTTAGTGTGTCTGATTCTTTTAACCTCGATCTCTTTGGATGGCATGTGGCGGGGGAATAATGGGCACCTTGTTCACAAACACAAACTTTCTCCTTAGATACAGTCTGGGGGATGTGTTCACATACTAAAATCATGAAAACCTTTCCAAAATCACAATGGTATACATATTCTTTTCAATACAAAAAATTAATCATTATCATTGACGGCATATGGCTTCTTAGATTCCTTGCGCCTTTCATGGAAGAATTCAATTACAAACAGCACTAAACAACTAGTGACTCCACTATAAATTCTCCCATAAACACCAGATAATGTATACCATCAACTTGCATGACAAAGAGTCCCAATGCCTAACAGGCTCAACACTCATATCTCAGTCATGGCTGCCTGGCCAGGAAAATGAACATCATGACGGATTCCTGCATTCTTCACATTGTGCTCATGAACAAAGTCAGTGTAGTTTCTATGTGCGGTCTGGGGTGGGGGCAAGGCCCTTGTGTTCCACTGGTTTCCACCACGTTGACAGCAGTCACTGGCAGCAGAGAGCCTGGATGGTTGGGGAGTGGGAGGGGAGCACAGTTAGTCAATAGGAATAGGAGAAAATGGATGTGTAAGAGATAATAAAGGTGAAAGGTAATGTCACTAGCATGCACTGCTGCTATGAGTAGTTAACAACATCTACTCCATGCAATGGTAACATTCAAGAATAACAAAGTGGGGGAAATCCACAAAGTTACATGTAATGAAAAATACCAATATGGAAATACATGTAAGTAATCTGACTCAGTTAAGTGAATTAAAGAATAAATTTCTCAGAAAGCAAGACACTCTGTATCTGTCCCTGATGTTGTTACTAACATTAAAAGCAGAAATGTTGTTAGGGGTTTTAATCAGAAGAAAAAAATATTCATAATCTACTTACTTCAAATATTTGAAAAAAGAATTCTACATAAGGACAAAAGTATGTATGGAAAAGGAAAACTGTGAAAATTCTTCCTTAAATTATGAGATTTCACAGAACTGAAACCCAGGGAACAAAATTCAGACAGAGCACTAAAAACAAAAAATCTACCTTCAGAGGCCATGTAATTTTACATCAATGTTCCCAATTAACAATAGAGAATCATCGCTCCTTATATAATTAAAGTTCACAAGATCTCAAAATGAAATTCAACAGGTACAGATAATGTGATGAGATGATACACCCTTCTCCAAGAAGTAGTTTAGTAAGCATATTAAGCACCTTTTATCACAGTGCTACAGAAAAGGCCTATAGAATTCTAAGACTGAAACATGCATACATGCAGTTCTTGGTTAGAAGTGATCAGAGTCCTCCAGTAGAAAGAAAGCAAATCAAAGTCTGGTGACATGGCAGAAAGGGTAGCACATATTTAAAATAACTACAAAGGAAAATACCACCCCAAATATAAAATATGTGCAAAAATACATTTTTAAAGGTGTTCTTTCTAACTCAACCAAAACATTAATCTTCACCTTTATCCCTTAGGGAAACTGTAAAGAAATTAAAATAATTTTTCAAAACAAACTTGGAAGGCTTTTTTATAACAAAATCATCTTTCTTTTAACTGAAATACAATTTGTTCACCAGACCTAGCTCACAAAAATCACAACCCTCAAGTTATGGTCTCTAAAAATTTAGAAAACTAAATTAGGTTTATGCTCTCCCCTATCAATGCAAGATTTTCTAAACACTGTTTTGTTTCTGTTGTTGCTTACAAATGATTTGTGGGTTTACAATACATGAATTGTTTCTCAAAATGTGAAATTTTAAATACCTGATTATTCTAAGCTACTGATATGCCAAATCATTCACTCTAATAATGGTGTCATTTAAAAGATACCAGCAAAAAAAATGCTGAAGACTCGAACAGGGAGTCGGTTTAGATTAAACTGGTTGAAAGTTATCTGCCAGAAATAGAATGGTCCATTATTCTGCCCAATTGTTCAAACATAGGAAGCACTTCCAAATTTTAACCACTTATCACTTTCTAAAGGAGGACTGCTTTATATTTTTTTGAAAGCATTAATGAGAATCAAAGCATGCAGAAAAAAGAATGAAATGCAGAGCACATTTGAAATTAAGGCGGAAGAGTCCATTATCTCCAAAACATGCCAGCTCTATATTCAGTTCCATGCCCTTGTTGACATGAGGCTTATTTTGTTATAAAGAGCACCACTTTACTCTATTTCAGCAAAGGAGGTCTCAGCACAACCACATAAAGAAAGGAAAACACACAGCTCCAAATCTTTCATTTTCCTTAAAATTTAATAAATTCAATGCTCTTTCTAAAGGATGCATCAAATAAACCAAGTAGTACCTAACAAATAAAATCAAACCGATTTAAATATGTACCTATTAATATGGAAAAACTCAGATTCAGTGTTGTAATACAGTATGCCAACTAATTAGACCCTCATTCCATATGAATGTAAAAGGCAAACATATAAAAGACACTTCTTTTACAGCTGAAATCTCAGTACTATTTTTCCTTGCAAACAGAACTTGGTGGTAACATCAATGAGATAAAACATAACTGCTTACAGGAGCTGTGTTTTCCATAAGAAATTGAAGACACTTTCTAAAAATGACTTTAAAAAATAAATTTGACATTTATAAGCCTCACTCTTTACGCTTTTAGGTGTGTACCCAGATGCACACAAATATACACGAAGTATCACCACCACACACCCATATAGAAAGAAAATAAAAAGGAGAAAATGGGGCCGGGGGAGAAGAGAACTCAATCTTATAAACTAATCGCAAGTTATTTGGAACTGAAGTAAAAATATGCCCAAATATCAAGAGCAAGGCACCTTGCAGTTAGTTAAGCCAAAATAACAGTGAAAAATAATTACATAGCAAAGACTGAAAATAATCACCAACCACTGTTGACCCACCACCATGAAGGAAGAACTGGCTGCACAGAAAGCTGACCAAAACCTTGAGATCACCACAGAAATGCATTAGATTTCAGGTACTACACAAACTAAGAGCAAAAGAAAAAGAGAAAAATCCTATGAATTATCAAAATTCATTTCACAAACAGAAAAATAACTTGAACAGGTAATACACCCAACATGACCACTGAATCAAATAATCCCCAAGAAGCCCCCACCAAGCCACATATATTTATTTGGGAAAGGATAAACTCAAGAGATTAACTCCAATAAGACACAAAGTATCCATACTTGTATATTTACTATTAATCTAAAAAAAAACCCTGGAAGTCTAAATAATTAAAGTATATTTTTCCTGTAATCAGATTCTCTCTCAGTGTCCTTAGGGTATCTCATGCTTTATCAGATTTTAATCATGTTTCGCTTCTGACTTTACCCTCTGTCTTTAATGAGGAAAACACATTCGAAGCAGCATCATGTTGTCTGGAATAACATGTAGTGGATATACTTTCCTCAAGGACCTGGGAAAATATTCTACTGTCTTTTTCAACAGAGGGTCATCCACCACTACCACATCAAGCTAATAAGAGCAGATTTATTTTAAATGTATTAATGTTTTGTTTCAAATAAATAAGGACAGCTGTCTGATGGTCTTCATTTAGACAACTGTACTCCCTTTATCACCAACATCCTTATTTTCCCCATCTCAATATGATTATTTAATAACATGCTTTCCAGCTCACAAATATGAATAATTTGCTTTCAATCATATTTAAAGTACTTTAAGATTACGGCTTGGAATTCTGAATACAATTAAGTAGGCAATATTTTATTTTAGTTTAAGGAATTAACAAACCATTTCCTGTCATGCTGGTCTGTTCCAGGATTCTGTGGCAGATTCTCTATCTCCACTGGCACAGGAGCAGAGGAAATGGAAGGACTCACAAGCAGAGCAGATCTCATCCCCCAAGCCTTTGGACAAAAATTATAAAAATTATCTATTTTGCCTAGGTAACAGATCTCTTCATCAACAAATACTAAAATGGAGTACTATTTACAAAGCCAACAAATAAAATGTAAACAAATGCTTGAATTTCATATACCACCTCAGAGATAGTTAATGAATGAAATATTAGTAACCAGTTAAATTATGTTCTTGGATTCACAGTGACAGAAAATGTTATACAGCAGCTGTTTCATTTACAAAATCTCAGAGAAAAAATAACAGGAAGTTATTACTGAACCACTTAAGGGAAAAGGAAAAGAAAATGCACACAATTTGTGCAAGGTTACATACACCACTATGAAAATCCAATCAATAGTACTACTGTTACCATAATTAACCGGTGATCTGGTGTTTTAGAAACTTAATGTTGTCTTACCTGTTGGGAGCCATTACTTTGGGTCAAAACATTATTGTGAACACTGTAATGGGGGAAAAAAATCTATTAAAAATTCTATATGAAATCTCAGGACTTCACTTTGTAAGATGACACATACACTAATAAAATATTTATTTTAAAGATATTAACATTTTGTTTCAAATAAAGAATAAAACTACTGCTGGTACCTAAAACTAAGAAAGTCAGATACCCGAAAACACTTGTTCTTATAGGCAAATACTTGCTTTTCTATAGTTGCTCATTTGATGTTTCCATATACCTGTATTTTAATCATGCTTTAGAGGTATGCTTCACAACTAATGTTTATTCATTGGATGACAGCTGTCAAGGATGACCTAACAAAGACAGCAACACAAGACCCACATAAACTTAACTGTCACTTCTTTTGTATATTCCTACCCTCAAGATTTTCCAGTGTCGGCAACAACTCAGCATTTTATAATTCAAAAGGCCTTAGTATAAAAGGTTTAGAAAGTTTGAAAATTCTGTGTGTACACTTTCCTCTCCAAATGACTTATAAACACGTTTTAAAATTTTCAGTTTAGGCCAGGCACGGTGGCTCACGCCTGTAATCCCAGCACTTTGGGAGGCCAAGGTGGGCGGATTATGAGGTCAGGAGATCAGGACCATCCTGGCTAACACAGTAAAACCCCATCTCTACTAAAAATACAAAAAAATTAGCCTGGCGTGGTGCGGGCGCCTGTAGTCCCAGCTACTTGGGAGGCTGAGGCAGGAGAATGGCGTGAACCCGGGAGGCGGAGCTTGCAGCGAGCCGAGATTGCGCCACTGCACTCCAGCCTGGGCAACAGAGCCAGACTCCATCTCAAAAAACAAACAAACAAACAAACAAAACAAACTCAGTTTAGTTTGTACCCATCCCCACCCTGCCATCCCCACAAAAAGCACTTGAAAAAACCCTCAACCTATAATAAAGAAAAAAAAATAGAAACTACAGAACAGCAGAAAAAAAAATTCAATAAAATAAAAACTCAAAGATGAACTATAACTCACAATGAAATGAGAAAAAAGGTTTCCTAATGTTAGACATTCGAAAACAACGATATATGGTATCCTTGAAGAAATTCAACTAACATAAAAAATAATTCAAAGATTAAAAAAATTCCTTGAAAGTGAGAAAAAAATTTACAGATTTAATGACAGCACTGTGTTTCAGGAAAAAGAGACAGAAAATGAAATACAATCAATCCCTTATTGTTCAGCCACTAATCTTCAAGGATAAGGAAGGAATACTTCTGGTACCCCAAGCAGATTTAAAAGCAAATCCCTACCAATTATCAGGTTGGCAAAGACCTCCCATAGCAATAATCAAGAATATTATTTTATAACCAGCCAACATGTCATTCTACTAAGGAAACAGGCAAAGCTCTCAAATACAACCTCCGAATAGAGTATCCAGAAGTCTTTCTAACAAGGTGAGAGCAAAAACCGCTACCTGATAATGAAAGTCAACCAGTTAAGAACCGAAGAATGAAGAGAGGCCCTGCTAAAAAGCTGGGGAATGAAGAGTGAACACATTTTATATTCCATTTTTTTAAGAACTACAGATCAATTACAAGTTGAGTCACCGTAACTTGCATTATCACTGTCTGGGTTCAAAGCCAAGCTGTGTCATTAGGTCTACTCTGTACACCTTGGGTTACTCAGTCGCATGGGACTGTTAGAACGACTAAATGAGTTAATACTAGCGAAATACAAATAATAGCGATTACAACAACAAAAAAATACCTTTAAAAGAAATACTATTGGTGAGGCATGGTGGCTTATGCCTGTAATCCCAGCACTCTCAGGGGCCGAGGCAGGAGGATGCCTGAGCCCAGCGATTTGAGACCAGCCTGGGCAACAGAGTCAGACCTCTAGCTCTACAAAAAACTTAAAAATAGCTACGTGTTGGGGTGTGTGCCTGAAGCAGTCTCATACACTTTGGAGGCTGAGGCAGGAGGATTGCTTGATCCCAGGAGGTTGAGGCTACAGTGAGCCATGATCATGCCACTGCACTGCAGCCTGGGTGGACCCTGTCTCAAAAACAAAGCAAAACAAACAAACAAACAAACAAAAAACCACCACCACCCCTCCCTCAAAAATAAATAAATAAATCAATAAAACAATTTAGTGTAGATTCACTGCCATGGCAATGTTAAAGATTATACCCATCAGGTACAATTTATTTTTACTAACCATGTTGCTCTTCCTAGAATACTCATGATCCTAAACCTTAATGAAATCTCACCCAGCCTGCTTAGTACAGAAGTTAGACTTACTAGTCCATAGTCCCTTGGTTATTCTCGGAAGCTTTGCCTTTAACTAGAAATAACTTTAGTAGGTGATCAATAAGAATAACATGAGAACAAAATACTTATAAGTGATGTTAATTGAATCATAGCTTCCTGTTTTAAATTGTCTGAAATACAGAAAGCATTATTTTCTGATAATTATATACATTCTTTCACTTCCATGAGTATTAAGGGATTACTGAATTATTTCTCATTACTAATCTAGTTCAAACTTCCCTTTTTAAAGGACTAGATAAAATAACTGACCCTTTTGCTTTTACATAGTATACCTTCTACTCATTTGATTTCCTCTACCATTTTTTCTTTTCCTCTTTCCTGTCTTCAAGACTGCATATTAAGCCTGTATAAGACGTACCAGTAATTGAAATGTCAACCATCCTTTAAACATCACCTCTTAAAATACTATAGAGTATTCATGACTCACAAGAGTAGTTAGGAGCCAAAATAGTACAAGAAAAATGACTGACATTCGCCAATTTAAAAATCTGTTATTCAAACGGGCATTTTACAAAACTGCAGAATATAAGGTTGAGAAGCTTTTCAGGTCTAGTTGTGCCTTTTCAAACAGTACTGTTTTCCACGGTTCAATGGAGCAAAACTGTTCATACAAACAGAACTGGAAGGGCAAGAGTGAAAGGGCATACAACATGCCAGTCTGAGCTCAGGTTTTCTCAAGCACTGCGATGGGTGGTGCTCAATACTCTTCAGGAGAGTTGGGTCCTCCTCTACATCTCATTTCTAAAAGTCTAGTCTAAAAAAAAAATCATTCCTTAAATATGCCATTTCTGCTATGTTTTCCAGAGCCAAAGGCATCACTAATGAAGAGACACTAACATTTAGCCATTAAAGTTAAATTAATCATAATTCCAAAACAGTCACTATATACATTTTTTTCTTTTACCGGAAACGTGTTTCAGAACATCTTAAAGAAAATCCTCCTATTTTTGCAAATAAAAGCCTTAATTTTTCAACTATGTATCATTCCTGAATACTTTGTTCACATTTCTGCTAACTTTAGCAGGTACTCACTTTTTACTTTAAGCTCTAATATTCCATATCCCAGCCTCCTTTTCAGGAAAACATGCCATAATCCATTAAATAAACAAAATAGTTTCAAAGATAAAGAAAAATCTCAAATATTACTCCATTTCTCTTTTTCTTTTTTTTTATTTGAGATGGAGTCTCGCTCTGTCACCCAGGCCAGAGAGCAGTGGCGCAATCTCGGCTCAGTGCAACCTCCGACTCCAGGGTTAAAGCAATTCTCCTATCTCAGCCTCCAGAGTAGCTGGGATTACAGGCACGCGCCACCACGCCCAGCTAATTTTTGTATTTTTAGTAGAGATGGGGTTTTGCCATGTTGGCCTGGCTGGTCTCGAACTCCTGACCTCAGGTGATCTGCCTGCCTTGGCCTCCCAAAGTCTTAGGATTACAGGCATGAGCCACCCCTCCCAGCCATTACTCCACTTTTCTGAAAAGCATAGCTTATAAACAAATCCAAGAAAAATAAAAGTATACAGCACAGAAAAGGCACAAAATGTTGTTTTTTAACCAATAAAAATTTCACGGAGAGAATCTCACAGAAATTTCACTTCCTCCCTGTTCTATTTATTTATTTATTTATTTTCAACAGCCTATTGACAGCTAAAGAAACTTGAGGGGAGTCCTTGTTCAAAAAGCAGAGTGCTACCATAGTCAATCACTAATCACAGACTGGCTTTAACAGCTTTCAAAGTGAAAAAAAAAAATGGACATTTCAAGGTGAGGCTGATGATACTCAATATCCAAAAATAACCAACTTCTTTCAAAAAAGGTCTAGTGAGACACCTGCCATATAAGAGTACAGACAAATTCAAAAATAAACTAGATTTGTAGGTATGGTCTGAATCTTATCTTTAACCAGCATTCTAGGAGACTCTAATACATACCAATTGTTAAGCATTATATGAGACTATAGACTCACTGTAATAAATAATATTAAAATTAATGGAGCCAGCCGGGTGTGGCGGCTCACACCTGTAATCCTAGCCCTTTGGGAGGCCGAGGCAGGCGGATCACTTGAGGTAGGGAGTTTGAAACCAGCCTGGCCAACATGGTGAAACCCTGTCTCTACTAAAAATCCAAAAAATTAGGTGGGCATGGTGGTGCGTGCCTGTAAT